TTCCCCAGCATCTACAAACCTACCCTGTCTTCCATGCATCTAAGTTGTTGCCCTTTACTTCAGCTGATGCATTCCCAAACAGACCCCCTCAATTTGGTCCACCGATCCCTGGGAAGGGATATGAAGTGGAAAAGATTGAAGATGAGACGAGCACACGCGTAAACAAGCAGTATCTTGTGAAGTTCCTGTACCAGCCTCACACTGAGGACCGCTGGTTCACACGCAAGGAACTCCTCAAGACAGCGAAGTTTGTTGTCCTCAAATATGAGGCAGCACTGAGGGGAGAGTTCCCTCGACACTCAACACACCTGCACTCCTAGCTCGGGGGTCCTCGCTCTGGGGGAGGGTAGGTCTGCAATTACTTGCTGCTTTCTGTCGTCGGTGACCCTTCGACCCGAGGCTGTAACATAGGTAGGTTAGATTCATAATTTTGTTGGCTGAGGGCTAACCGAGATTTATGACTGTGAGGAAATTCATGAGGGACATATCTACAAATCCGAGAAAATTCTAGTCCTACACTAACCGAATTCCCTACAGCGACCCTAATTGCGAATAGCAGGCCCGGGCTACCCCTAGGAGAGACAGGCCCTAAAGGCCTAAGCTAACAGACAATCCTGTAACCTACAGCCCGGTAGGGAGAGGCCCGAGAGGCCGAAACTGAAACGGTACCGGCCAGTCCTACCAGTCCGGTCTAGGTCGTGTCTATGCCAGGGTTGAGTATAGATAGATGGTAGACATCGGTTCAGGGCTTTTGGCAGTGGGTACTGTGTACGTCGCTGCTGTGCAACGTGTGAACTGGAAGTGGTGACAGCTTCAGCGTTGGAGAAGACAGACATAGTTGGACCTGCGGAGTGTCGACCATAGCTGGGACCGACGCTGGACTCTGACAGCACGCGGGGCTGTTCAGAGGTCTGGGCTATCTGGATTCTGTTGGGGGCGAGAGGAGTTGGTGCCCTGCTGAACCCTCCTCAGGAGTAGGCTGTTAGAGTGTCTGGCGCTGCAGCCATAGCTGTAGCTTGTCTTCCTCAGAGATCATCTTTGTTAGGAGTGGTGGCACTGCTAAAGACTTCCACCCTCTTGCATCCGACACAAGAAAAGAAGATGGTCGTCGCTCTCGGTCGTTCGTGGAATGACTGTGTCCAACGAAGAAGTGACCGACGAGCCGTGCTCGGACTCGAAGGGCGACATCCCGATAGTCGGGTGGATGGACGAGTTGTATGCCAACTTGACATCCAGCAGCCACTCAACCCAATCCTTTTCGTTGGGACGGATGAGAGTGCGAAGGACAACCTGTGCGGTCTGATGCGCCCTCTCCATTTGGCCATCGGTTTCGGGGTGGCGAGCCAAGCTTGGCTTGAGAGATGAGCCCCATCGTTTGATGAGCGCCAACCAAAAATCGGACATGAACCGAGTGTCGTGGTCGCAAACGATTTCCTTGGGGTAACCCTTGGTTCAAATCCAACCGGCGTAGAGAACCTCGGCCAACTCCGGTGCCTTGGCATGATAGCGGCAAGGCAAAAACATGGCGAACTTGGTGAGTCGGTCGACCACCGTGAGAATCCCATCCGCTCCGGTGTTGTGCTTGGGCAACGGGCCCATAATGTCCATGGCAATCGCTTCCCTTCGCCGCAAAGGGACCGGTAATGGTCGCAACTCGCCGTATGGACGATGGTTGCGGGATTTGCAACATCGACAAACCTCGCATGACTCGCAATAGCGTGTGACGTCGCCGAGAAGGCCGGGCCACCAAAAGCGCTCACGAAGTCGGCCCATTATGCGATTGACTCCATTGTGTCCGGTGGTGGGAGCATCGTAGAACTTGCCAAGAAGCCGTATACACAAGTGAGAGTCACTCGGTACGCAAAGAAGGTTCTTCCCATCCGGTAGTAAGAAGGCGCTGGATTAGGAGAGGAGCAATTCACGTACTTATCGCGAAACTCGGGGTCGGCTTGGTAGCCGCGGATGAAGCTGTCCCGCAGGTCGTTGTCAATTTCAAAGGTTGAATAGACCGCGGTACAATGATCCGGACGCAGTGAAAGAGCATCCGCAAAGCTGCTCGACTTCCCCGGAATGTGATCGGGGAGAAGTCGAACTGGTCGATAAAAGCCATCCATCGAGCGATGGTGTTGTTGACGGTGTCTTGGGTCTTGTAAAAGGCCAACGGATTGTTCTCCGTTACCCAACGGAATTGACTTCGACCCAGGAGGAAGTACCGCCATCGCTTGAGCGTGTGGACGAAGGCGAGGAGCTCCTTCTTGCGTGCATCATCAATGGAATGCACGACGGACACTTTCTTGCTGAAGTACTCGACCGGATGCCAGTCCACGCCATCGTGTTGCTCGAGGACGACACCAATGCCATAGCCGAACGCATCTGTAGTGACGCGTGTTGGCAATAACGGGTCGTATATACACAAGACCTCCGCAGATAATAGCGCGGCTTTGAGAGCTAAAAATGATTCCCGCTCATCCTCCCCGAAGTCAAATTGTCGATCCTCGTATTGAAGCTTGGTCAAGTGGGCCGCAATCTTTGAGTATCCCTTGATAAAACGTTGGTAGTAGCTGGCAAGGCCAAGGAACGAACGGACATCCGTGACGTTCCGCGGCTCCGGCCACTCTTGGATTACTTGAATCTTGTCCGATAGCGGACTGATGCCCTCAGGTGTGACAAAATGGCCCAAGTATTCCAGCTTTGCCAGACAAATTCGAACTTGTCGCAGTTGGCCTTGTACTTGGCGCGGAGGAGCGTCTCCAACACTCGTTGAAGATGCTCAAGATGATCCTCCAATGACCGGCTATAGACGAGAATGTCATCTAAGTAGACCAGCATGAACTGGTCCAACATCTCACGAAACTCGTTGGTCATTGCCGGTTGGAAGGTCGCCGGGGCGTTGGTGAGGCCAAGAGGAATGACCACCCACTCAAAATGCCCATGCCGCGTCTTGAACGAGGATTTGTAACGATCGTTCGGTCGGATCGAGATTTGATGATATCCCGACTTCAAATCCAACTTAGAAAAATACTTCGCGCCCCAATCGCTCAAGAAGATCGTCGACGCGAGGAAGAGGCCCCGCATTCTTGACGGTTTGCACGTTGAGGTTGTGGTAGTCGATGCACAATCTTAGATCTTTGTTCTTCTTCCGTACGAAGAGAACTGACGCTCCATATGGAGAGCTAGTAGGGTGGATCCAACCCTTGTCCAACAAGTCGTCAAGTTGCGCACGGAGGACCGTAAGCTCCTCCTCGCTCATGCGGTAAATGCAACCTTTCGGCGGCATGGCACCGACCTCAAGAATGATCTTGTGAGAGATCGACCGATCGGGCACCACACCGGTAGGTGACTCGAAGATGTCAGCGAACTCGTCGAGCAACCGCACCACATGGGGGTCCGAAGACAAGTCTGTGGGTGAAGAGTCGGTTACCGCGACGGTCCGTAGGAAACATAGGCCGATTTCGTCAGACTGCTCGTAAGCACAAGTAGCCCAGAATGATTTGGCCGTCACCACTTGGCACCGAATCAAAGGGTGCGGAAGAGGAATAGTACACGACACTTCGGCGTCTAAGGCGTTGCGAACGGTAAGAGTCCGCTGGTGGAAGTTGACCGTGTGATCCGCACTTGCAAGCCAAGGCATTCCCAAAATAATGTCGAAGTCCGTGTCCAAAATGTCAAATGTCACTGGTTTGCATGCATGAGGTGCGAAATACACCGGTACGGCCTCGATCTAGTGGTCGATAAGTTATTGCGCCCTTCCGTCCGCCAACTTGATCACCGTCGGGTTTGCCTTCCTTCGAACTTGTGTGCCAAGGCCAGCCTTTTGCATAAAGGCTTGGCTCATAAAATTGCGAGACACACCGCTATCCAGCAAAGCGCTGCAGGACGCTTGCCCAACTTGGATGCGGACATAGAGGAGCGGTGCGTTGTTGTCATCGTACCGCTGATTGCGAAACTCGCGGGCCACCTTGGTAACATATGCAAGGATGTCCCCCACCGCGACTTCGTCATCCGTCGGCAAAGTTGGTGGTGCATAGAAGGATAGGTACGTGTGAAGATGAGCGCATAATGTTGCGCATTGCGGTCCCGGCAAGCGGCCCGTGGTCGGGAGAGGAAGCCATGCGAAATCCTCGAACGTGAGCGGGTCCAATACCTCTATGTTGAACTCGCACGCCAAATCCCGTGAAGAACCACTTGAAGACGATAAGTTGTCGTTGCTGGACAGAGAAGATGCCGCACACACATCTTGTCCTTGAACATGAGTACCCATTGTAGGAACAAGCCGGGCAGCATAGTCCTCAAAAAAATAAAGAAGAGGAGGACTATCGACCTCCGCATGTGCCTCGGAACGAAGGGCGGTCACTCGCGAAGCGACCGGTTCCGAAGGCGTCGAGAGTGTCGTCGAGTCACTCCCGGCGGTGCTCAATTTCCCGATTTGCCCTTGCCTTTCGACTGGCAGGCCATTGATCTCGTGCATGCTTTGTATGCTTGCTCGGAGAGACCGTAATGGGACCATGGGGCAGGACCTCCTGCGTCGGGCCCGGGGCTAGATGCGGTGTTTGTCTTCGCCTTGCCGCGTCCTCGGCCTTTGCCGGGGAGGCCACCTGCCCCGGCGGCAGCAAGTCTGTCCCCTTCATTGGCAGATACGGCCTCCCTAGTTCGGTCGTTTGGCATTGCCGCCTCGACCACGGCCACTTTCGTCCGATGCTGATCTCTGCTCAAGCCTGACGTAGACAAACGCTGGAAATTTTTAGCCTCCTTGTTTATGACAATAATCTGCGCGGCCTTGTCGAAGAGTTCTGCCGGTATCATCAGGGTGTCCTTGACGAGAGTCAAGGTATTGCCCAACGCCAGACACGACCTCGAGATGAAGTAGTCTTTGATGGCTTCGAAACGCATTTGAATGTCTGGGACGGATGTCAAGCGTTGTAACTCGGCAATCCAGTCAACACTCGGCAGCGTGCCTTGTTCGACGACCATCAGCTTGTCCATTGCCTTGATCTTCGGCGGCTCTACTTGGAACCGCTTATGCCATGCCACCTTTAGATCATCCTAACTGATCTTGGTATGCAAGTCGGCAGCCATCACTCCGTACTTGGACAAGAGATTGTCCAACCATGCTTGGCACGCGCCCCCTGACCGGGAGTATAAGTACACGTGGTGCTTGCGTTCTTTGACGTAGTGTAGCTGCAACGTGAGCTCGAACTTGCGGAACCATGGAATCGGGTTTGTCTTCGTCGAGTCGCAGAAGATCTCCTGCCCATCGAACTTTGGAGTTGTCTCGCGCGGTTCTGAGCTCGAGTGGTTGGCGGCAGTACAGATCCGCTGCTCCAACTGTTGCGTTGCGGTTTGCTGTAACTGCACGCCATCCTTGAGGGAGCCGACGTCAATCTCCAATGCCTCGAGGCGATCGGAGGTGTTGGAAGAGCTGGCGTCGGGGGCGGCGACGGGTCGCTGCTCCAGCTGCCGGAGGCGGCTGTGGACTTGAGCCAACGCATCGTCGAGGCTGTGGATGTCCTCCTGCTGTGTAATGCATGTTGCCAGGAGGTCCGTGAGATGGGAGTGGAGCAGAGTGATCTTGTTTTCACTCTCTTCCATCTTGCCATTCTCGGCCTCGGCCCGCCAACCTGCTGCCATTGTGAGCAAAGCTCGCTCTCCGCTGAATATCTTCTCGCGCCGTTGAATTCGTTCTTCGTCGGCAGCCTTTGCTGCTACCTCGTTGTGTTGGTGCTGCTGTTCGATTGCCAACAGGCGTGCCTTCTCGGCGTCCTCTGCCTTCTGCTTTGCTGCGGCTGCTACTGCATCCAACCGTTGCTTAGCTTCGGTAATCAGAAGCAGCATCCGGGCCTGATAGGCCTCGTCGGTAATCACAAGCTCGAGGCCAAGGACAAGTCCACATCAAATGAGTTTGTGGTAGTGGAGGGATTACTCTTTCTTGAAATTGTCAGGACTAAAAGGTTATGTGTGTCAACTAGAGAGTCTTTGCGTAGTTCGTTTCGAGGCGAATGTCATGATGTGACCGGGCATTTCAGCTAGAAGAAGACGAGTGCTAACCTGGTACAGTGCTTTTGGTGGCTCGATCTGCTTGAGGATGCAAAGTGCTATGTTGAGACTTGTCAGGTTTGGTAACGGGATAAGTGGAGGACTCAAGTGCCACTTTGGTTAATCAAGCCCTTGCCTAGTCCCGCTGGTTCGGGTCAGAATGTTTCCATGGACTTCGTGGACACCCTCATGACCAGCAAGAGTGGCAAGAGACATATCATTATCATAGTGGATCGTTTCGCAAGCTACACTAGGTTAGTTGCCATACCCGAGACTGAGCACAGCAACCCTTAGGCTGCGGTATAGTGGGCTTCCGCGTCTGTGTCAAGGTGTCGCATTTTTGGCGGCAGGCGACCAGGACGCAAAGTGGGTTCTTAGGGGGCAAAAAAATTTGGGGGACCGGTCCTTGGCAAAACTGCGGACTACCT